ATTCTAGCTGTTAAACAGTTGCTAGCCTGTGTTACAATTTTTCTTGCCTTTTCTTTTCTTTCTAAAGACCCTCCCAACATTTCAGAATTTCTGTCATATACACTCTTAATAGCATCAAATATTGCATAAGTTTTTAACCCAGGCTTAGTCACATAATCTGAGATATATGCCACTATAGCTTTGATGGCTGTTCCAGATAGAAGGCTTGTTACATCTGAGTTACATCTGAGCAGATAAGTGACTGGAGGAGATAGTGTATTAATCCATTCCTCTCCCTTCTTGACATTCAAGGCCCCAGTATTTGAATCCACCTCTGTCTGATCATATAATGGTCTGGGAAATCTAGCTTTACATTTTCCCTGCTTATTCATACATGTAGGTCTATCCCTCTTTGCAGCTTTTTTACTAGCTGATCTGTTTCTTCCACAATCATGTACATTAGACCTCAGAATGAGATCATCTACTGTCTTTGCATATTCTTGCCACCAGGTGCTAAGATTTTCACATTTTTCACAATTATTGCAGTCACAAAATGGAGGAGGTGCTTCAGGTAAAGTCTGGGTTGGATCCTTATAATTCTTGTTTTGATTTTTCTCTATATCTACCTGGTGCTTCACCTTATCCATTGGCCCTGTTATAAATTCACCAATGTGGACAGCCTCCAAATATTTAACTATTTTCTTTTGAAAGTCTGAAAAAGGATCCATGATTTTGTCTCTGATTTCCTGAGGAGTTAAAGCTCCTTTGATCCAAAGTAGCATATGCAAATGTAAAGTCAATCTTCCCTGTTGTTCCACTGTTGCATAAAATGCCTCTGTATCTCCATACAGTCCTCTATGTTTTTCACCCACACCAAGAACATGCTTGATGAACATCTCAGTTATGAAGTGGAAAAATCTAGCACCAGCTACAGGATTATTTGCAATTAATTTGTATCTTTCATCATATTCTCTTAACAATGGACTAAACTTTTCCTTAGTATCAGCAAAGGGGATCCTCAGAGTCGACCG